GCAAACTGCTGTTGACAGAAGAGGAGTGGACTGCTCGGAGGAACTCTGAGAAGGCAGCCTCCTCTAGCCACGGTGGCGATGGCAAGCGCCGCGGCAAGGCTTCTTCAGAGATGAAGAAGCAAGTCGACCCCAACGCCAACAGGCGCTGCGGGAAGACAGGCCATTGGGCACGGGAGTGCCCAACTCGCAAGCAGGAGAAGAAGGCTGAGGCTCATCTGGCGCAAGCTGATGATGATGATGAGACCACTATCCTGATGGCGACGTTCTGTGCACTGCACGACGTCGAGGCCGAGGAGAAGGAAGAGGTGGCGACGGTGGAAGGACCTAGGAAGGCCCTGAAGGCTGTCAACCTCGACGAACCGCGCGCCCAAGTCCACCTCGGACGTGTGGGCGCCGACCAGGAGCAGCGGTGGTATCTGGACTCTGGTGCCAGTAACCACATGACGGGCTCCAAAGCATCCTTCTCCGAGCTAGACGACGATGTTACCGGTACGGTGAAGTTTGGTGACGGCTCAAGGGTGGCAATCCAAGGGCGCGTCACCATCATCTTCAGGTGCCAGAACAGGGAGCACCGTGCACTAACGGATGTATGTTACATCCCACAGCTGCGTTCCAGCATCATCAGTATTGGTCAGCTGGATGAGCGCGGTAGCGAGGTACTGATCAAGGACGGAGTCCTTAGGATCAAGGACCGGGAGCAGCGACTTCTCGCCAAGGTGAAGAGGTCCCTGAACTGGTTGTACCCGCTCGACCTGAAGGTAGAGCAGTCGATGTGCATGGCGGCAAGGCACATCGAGGAACTATGGCTGTGGCATGCCCGGTTTGGACATCTCAGCTTCGACGCGATTGGTCGGCTGGACAAGATGGTCCAAGGGATACCCCACATCAAGCACGGAGGCGAGCTGTGTGACAGCTGCCTGACCGGGAAGTAGAGGAGGCTATCAATCCCAAAGGCAGCCAAGTATCGCGCGAAGGACGCTCTCGAGCTCATCCACGACGACCTCTGCGGGCCGATCACGCCAGCTACAAACGGTGATCGGTGGTACTTCCTCCTACTCGTGGATGATTGAAGTCGCTACATGTGGCTACAACTCCTGACGAGCAAGGACGAAGCGGCGGCGGCGATCAAGAAGTTCAAGATGCGTGCGGAGGCCGAGAGCTGCAAGAAGCTCCGCATGCTGAGGACTGATCGTGGCGGCGAATTCACTTCGGTAGAGTTCGTTGCGTACTACGTGGATCAGGGTGTGGTGCAACACCACACCGCACCGTACTCGCCACAACAGAATGGCATGGTGGAGAGGCGGAACCAGACGGTGGTCGGCATGGCTCGATCCATGATGAAGGCCAAAGGCATGCCGACAAGGTTCTGGGGTGAGGCGGTGACCATGGCGGTGTTCATCCTCAACCGCGCTCTGACCAAGGTCCTAATGGGCAAAATGTCATTCAAAGCTTGGTGTGGGCGCAAGCCGAGCATGTCCTTTCTCCGGACATTCGGCTGCATCGGCCACGTCAGAAAGACAAAGCCGATCCTTACCAAGCTGGAGGACAGGAGCACACCGATGGTGTTCCTAGGCTACGTGAAGGGTACTAAGGCGTACCAGCTCTACAAGCCACGCGGAGACAAGGTACTTGTCTCGCGCGACGTCGTGTTCGGCAAGAAGGCAGCTTAGGACTGGAACAGTCCGAGCACGGGGGAAGCTGGCAGCTTCACCAGCACCTTCGTCGTCAAGCACCTGGTCATCCATGGTGGTGGAGACACTGGGGAAGAGGTGCCGAGCACTCCGGGAGGGGTGCCGAGCACTCCAGCAACAGAGCCGAGCACTCCTGGGGTAGTGCCGAGCACTTCGGGAGGGATGCCGAGCACTCCTGGAGGGATGCCGAGTACGCCAGGAGTGGTGTCGGGAGGTTCTGCAGTGGTGGCGACCACTCCAGGATGGGTGCCGAGCACTCCCATAGCGGAGCCAAGAGATCTTGCAGTGGTGCCGACCACTCCAAGACTGAGGCTGAGCACTCCTACAGTGGTGCCGAGCACTGTAGGAGTAGTGACGAGCTATCTAAAAGTAGTGCCGAGCACTGCAACCAGGGTGCTGAGCACTCAGGCGGAACAGGGAACTCCATCAACACTGATCGAGTTCGTCTCACCTCCAAGTGACATCACTGAGTTCGTGGATGCCTTCCACGAAGGTGAGGAGGTGCGGTTCTGTAGGCTAGACGACATCGTCGGCGGCACAGGGCCCTCAGGCCTGACTGGTCGGTTGCTTAATGATCAAGAGTTGCTGCTCGTCAGCGTAGAGGAACCACCCACGTTTGCGCTAGCCGAGCGCGATGGAAACTGGCGACGGGCGATGCTGGAGGAGATGAAGGCGATCGAGAAAAACGAGACATGGTAGCTCATCGATCCACCTCTAGGATACCGTCCGATCAGCCTGAAGTGGGTGTGCAAGGTCAAGCGGGACGAGCTCAGTGCTATTGTCAAGCACAAGGTGCGCCTCGTCGCCCAAGGCTTTGTTCAACGTGAGGGCATCGACTTCGAGGAAGTCTTTGCGCCAGTAGCGCGCATGGAGTCAGTCCGTTTGCTACTAGCTTTGGCAGCAGCAAAGGATTGGCGCGTCCATCACTTGGATGTTAAATCGGCCTTCCTCAACGGTGAACTGGTGGAGACGGTCTTCGTCAGCCAACCTCTAGGTTTCACCGTCAAGGGAGAGGAGCACAGGGTGCTCCGACTGCGCAAGGTGATCTACGGGCTACGGCAGGCCCCACGAGCATGGAATGCCAAGCTTGACGCCACGCTGGGCGAGCTTGGGTTCCAGTGGTGCGCAACCGAGCACGCGCTCTACACGTGGCGATGGGGGAAGGAGGAGCTCGTCGTCGGCGTGTATGTGGATGATTTGATTGTCACTGGCGCGCGTGCGGAGGACATCAACAGCTTCAAGCGCAAGATGGCGGCTCATTTTTGAATGAGCGATCTCGACGCACTCTCCTACTACCTCAGTATCAAGGTGAGACAGGGGAAGAAGAAACTCATGCTCTGTCAGAGCGAGTATGCCTCGAAGCTGTTGGAGCGAAGCGGCATGGCTGAGTGCAAGCCATGCGTGACTCCGATGGAGGAGCGGCTAAAACTGACAAATGCCAGCACCACGGCGAAGGTGGATGCAACACTCTACTGGAGCATCGTCGGCGGTCTGCGCTACCTAGTCCATACGAGGCCGGACATTGCGTTCGCTGTGGGCTACATCAGTCGCTTCATGGAGGATCCCAGAGAGAATCACTGGGTTGCGGTGAAGCGGCTACTGCGCTACGTCAAAGGGACGGTGGATCAGGGGATCATCTTCCCCAAGACCGACGGGAGTAGGCTGCAACTCACTGTGTTCAGCGATGCAGACATGGCGGGGGACATCGACGGGCGGCGGAGCACCTCTGGAGTGCTCGTCTTTTTCGGGTCGGCTCCAATTTCATGGCTGTCGCTGAAACATAAAGTGGTGGCGCTATCTACGTGCTAGGCAGAGTACGTAGCGGCGGCCACAGCGGCGTGCCAAGTTGTGTGGCTGCGCCGGCTGCTGGGCAAGCTGACCGATGTGGAAGCTCACCCACCAGCACTGATGGTGGACAACCAGCCCGCCATCGCCCTCCCGAAAAATCCAGTTCTGCACGACCGGAGCATACACATCGATGTAAAGTTCCACTTCCTCAGGGACTGTGTCGATGGAGGGCAGATCGTCATCGAGTTCGTCGAAACTGGTCGGCAACTCGTGGACGTCCTCACCAAGCCGCTCGGACGTCTTTGACTCACGGAGCTGAAGGAGATGATCGGCATGGAGGGGGTAAAAGGGATAGCAGTAGGATTATGGGAAGAATTATTAGATAATCTACTGCTTTCTTGTGTGAACACACAACAAGGGAAGGCGGCGCTGAAAAGGCTCCTTGCTGTGGTATTGTAGCCACTGTAGAGGCAGGCGCCGAAAGGCTCACCTGCCGTACTGTAGCCACATGCAGGGACAGGCGCAAAAGTTAGTCCTGCTGTGTTTTCTAGTCACTGTTGCAGCATGGGAGTTGTACTAGGACTAGATGGATAGAGTTGTATATGTAGTTTGCCACTGCAACTCAACAAAGAGAGTTCAGATTTGCCATCTCCTATACAGGGCTCCGGCCAACGCTGGTGCTTGTACTGTGTATCTGTTCTCTCTTTTCTTCTACCTTTAGCCATAGTGTGTGTGGTCGGACAACGCTTGTTCGTGGTCGTCATAGCTAGTGAGTGCTCGGCAACACTAGCGGGTGCTCGGCAAGACTGGTGAGTGGTCGACTCACCTGAGCCGGTGATCCTGTGGGCCAATAGACTGGACCAGTCTAGGGCTCCAGGCGTTTCTCAAGAGGGAGCTCAGTGACACTGGGAGTGAGCACCTGGCAGTTGCAAGCAGTGGTTACTGATCTTTCATCCCTAGGTCTGGCTTCAACTGTTTCATCATTGTTTGCATAATTCAATGGGTCGGGATAAAGGAAGTTCAAGGGAAAAAAAAGGAAGTTCAAGGAAAAAAAGGAAGTTCAAGGAAATAAAGGACCAAGATGTGGGAAAAGAATCATTATTTCTCTTGTACCATTCACACAATAAGGTATCATACATAATTGTAGGAATAAATAATAACCCCATTTACAACCCAATGTTGAAAATTTCTACTAAGAAAATGAAGTCGGTGAGATCCATGCAGACTGCAGAGCAAAATTATTCTACTACTACCCAAGAGCTGACTTGTATACCGGCCGGCCTTTAGCTGCAGTTCCTGCAGCCGTGCCGACGACGACGCCCAACTCCAAGAACAGATCTCCAATAAATACCACCCTTTTAAATCTGTATACGTACGTATAGTGAGCACGAATTGTGTCCGTATGTACGCCGTATCTATAGATACCGTATGAGCAAGAAAGAATTGGTGTCATGTGTGTGTGCCCTCCCTTCTCTAATTCTCTTCCCAGCAAATTATTCACAACTTGATCTCCATTTCCGATCATGTCGTCCTGGTGACCAGCTTGACTCCGGACAGGTCGCCGCCGAACTCCTCGAGCACCACCAGCAGGTTGCCGCTGGGGTTGAGCCAGGAGCGCGGGACGTGGTAGTACCTCTGGGAGATGTCGCCGCAGCCGGTCTGGCACTTGGTCTCGCTGTACGTCCCCGTGTAGCCGCAGCCGCCGCAGCTGCCGCCGGAGGCCTTGTACGACCAGTACCGCCCGATGTGGTGGCCGTTCACCCACGCCTGGCCCTTCCCCATGCTGCCCATGTCCAGGGCCACCGGCGCGGTGCCGGACGGCGCGTTGAAGTAGGCCTGAAGACGATCACAGTCACACACGCACGTGGTTTCAGAAATGGGAGCCTTGTTACGTGTGGTGGGTGGCAAAGTAGAGATCATGTAGACCACTGACCTTGTGCCATGTCAAGGGTTGCTTCCCGGCGGCGCCTCCCCACTCGACGGACGAGCTCCCGGCGACGGAGTGCACGCCCAGCGACTCGCCGTGCAGGCCGATCTGCGTGCGCGGCGAGATCAGTCAGTCAGTGTGTGTGTCTAGGTTCAGACTTCAGAGTAACAGAGCAAATGAGCAGCTGGTACCTGGTAGGTCCATTTCTGGTTGCTGAGGTCCCTCTTCCCCTCGTTCAGGCCGGACAGCGTCACCGGACCGAGCACGCCGACGTTCCACTCCTCGTAATGGGTGCCCTGGTTCTGCAGGGTCACCAAACACAGGAGGTTGCACATGTTAAGTTTCAGGCTTATTACAGGTAGTCAGAGCTCTGAAATTCTAGAAGAAGAAGAAGAGTGCAATGACGAGATGATTGATGAATCTGAATTTCCGGTGAGCTTACAGGGAGGCCGACTGCTGCGCTGAGGATGGAGATCTTGTTGCTGCCCTGCCACATCTTCACGTACCCGCTGTATGTCAGCTTCGGGCTGTCGTAGCCGCCATACGCGGCGCCTGCCATTGAACAACACCAATAAATGTTTCATCAGTAAATAAACGGGGCGATGCAATATTGGTATGGGTTGCAGTTGCAGAGAGATGCATTTCTAAAAGAAGAACAAGATTCAGACGGAGACGGTACCGTAGGACTGGCCGTTGACGAACACCTGCAGGGCGTGGCCGGCGGAGTAGATGGTCAGCTGCGGCCACTGTCCGGACTTCAAGAACTGCTCGTTCGAGTCGATGTTCACGCTGCATTGAAACATTCAGAGGTCAGCACGCAGAGATCGACCATGTAACTGCTGTGTTCATCAGAGACAGAGAGAAGTGGAGGAGGAAAGGCTCAGTTCAGGGATGCCATCACTCACTAGGTGGTGTACCACAGGTAGTCTGACTTGTCCCACGTCATGCTGAGCTGCTCCACCAGGCCGTCCTTGGTGAAGGCGCGGTCGTCCAGTGAGTTGGTGGCCTCGCTGTACGACTGCCACGAGAAGCCGCCCACGGGGCTCATCCTCGCCGGCGCCGACGGCTCGCTCACCGTCGCCGTGTTGAACACGGCGGTCTTGCAGTCCGGTAGCACGCTGATGGACCAGGCCGGGAGGTCGTAGCGCCGCCCGTTGAACACCACCTGCGACGCGGCGTTGGTGTGGTAGTTGGACAGGAACGCCGCGCAGGCGCCGCTGCTCGACTTGAACACGTACGCCTGAAAACACAGCTCGTCAGCTCCATTCCATGAGCAACTCTGGAAGTCTCGGTACATTTTTTAGAGGGTTCTGGCTCTGACAGAATTTGGCCGACCTTCTCGTAGTTCCCGATGGACTGGATGGTGGGGTCGCCGGAGACCAGCGCCGGCTCGGCTTGCTTGATGGCCTTGTGCAGGTCCCTCAGGTGACTCCATTTCGGCTGCCTCAGCAGACCTGAACATGCCATGGTTTTCAGAGTTTCAGTTACAGACGGACCATGAGACATTCAGAACAATCTACTGCAACAATTCCAGTACACTTTTCTTCCTCTTATTAACTGCCACACACTGAAACTGAAACTATCATGGAGGCCTACCGTATTCGTCGATCGGCGCATCGTAATCGTAGCTGGTGGCGATGAACGGCCCGCCGGAGGTGCGGTCGAAGTTGGTGCCTCCATGGTACTGAAGAAACAAAGCACATGCTAATTAAACATCATTATCCTTTTAGAAATCAAGCATCCTACTCATGTGACTTGACTGATCCATGTGGCCGCTCAGCTGGAGCCAGCCAGCCCAGTGACTCACACTCACCATGTAGTAATTGACGAAGGAGCCGCCCTTCTGGATGAAGCGCGCCACGGCGAAGGCCATGTCCTCCACCGGCCGGTGCGGCACCGGGCCACCGAACGCCGTGAACCTGAACGCATTTTGGTTTCATTCACGGCGATCTAAGCTGGATGCTATGTTGCTATAGTAGAATTTTGTTTTTTCGACGTGCCAAGAAATTCACTGCTGTTTCATTCATCAGTGAAAAAGATTCAGTAAGAATTACCAGCCGGTCCAGGCCTCGGTCCACATGGTAGGCTTGCTGTTGGAGTTGGGGCTGAAGTAGTCGCAGTAGAAGCCGTTGCAGGTGTTGATCTGAAGCCATGATCAGCATTTCCCAAGTAGAGGATGGATTAAGGTAGGGTAATTCAAAGATAGTAAGGTAATTAAAGAATCTACATATAGCAAATAGTAAAATTCAAAGATAATTGAAGTAGCAGTATGCCAGTATGAAACGGGACAGGCATAAGCATAATTGTTTGGCCGCAGCAAGCAAAGCAAATGTTGCCAGCTGGAAAGGAGGGACCGCGCGCGGCAGCGAATCAGCGATTGATGTCCTAACGACGACGACGAGAGAGAGAGAGAGAGAGAGAGAGAGAGAGAGAGAGAGCGATCGAGGTGGTTGATTAGCGCGTCTTAACGACGAACGCGACGGATTAATTGGCCGATATATCAACCGAATTAACCACCGCGGGAGCGGGAACGGCAGTGGAGCGGTTGAACAAACTAGATCGAGTAGTGAAGTTTTCTAATTTACCACGGGGTCCGGTGCGTCGTCCTGCTTGCACATGACCCATGGCACGCCGGCGCCGGTGGCGACAGCCATCTTGGCTGCCCAGCTGGCGTAGGGCTTGGCGCCGCCGCCCATGACGGACTCCATGGGCCCGTACTCGTTCTCCACCTGCGCCAGGATGATGGGGCCACCCTGCCACTCGAAGAGCCCCTCCGACTTCATCATCGACACGATCTTCTCCACGAACGTCTGCATCGCCGCCTTGAATGGCGCGTTGTCGGTGCGGAAGCTGATGCCGGGGACGTACTTGAGCCACACGGGGAAGCCGCCGAAGTTCCACTCGGCGCAGACGTAGGGCCCGATGCGGAGGTGCACGTAGAGCCCCGCCTGCTTGGCGAGCTTGACGAAGCGGACGAGGTCGTAGCGGTCGCCGAAGTAGTACTGCCCCTGCACGGGCTCGTGCCCGTTCCAGAACACGTACGTCTGGACCACGTCCAGGCCGCCGTCCTTGGCCTTCTGGAGCAGGTCCGGCCACATCTCGGGGGTGCTGCGCGGGTAGTGGATGGACCCCGAGATGAGGATCCGGCGCTGCCCGTTGATCACCACGGCCCTGTGGTCGTACGACACCGCCGCATTGGCTGGGGACGGCACGATGATGATGGCCGCCGCCGCCAGCAGGGCCGGCAGGGCCAGGAGGAGCATGCCGCCGGACATGCTCTCCCTCCCTGTTGTTCTCGGCTTCTCGGAGGGAGGCCGCAATGGCAGTGGACGGGAGGAGGGAGGAGGAGGGAGGGAGTGGGAGAGGATGGAAAGGGGTGGTGCTGGTGAGCTTGCTTATATCTGAGCTAGGCTACCTCTGCTGGCTGATGAGTGGGAATGCGTTGCTGGTTTCCGATTCTTTTACCTGCTGCGCCGCGCTTTTCATCTTTTTCCTGCCCTCGCTTTTGGATCTGCTAGTGCTTGTAGTGTTTACCGTTGGACGAGTGCGCAAGCAAAAGCAAGAACCAAGAAGAGCCAAGAGATGGGAGAAGAGTGGTGGAGTGGTGAAGCGAGAAGCGGAAAGCCGAAGCAGAGAAGGTAGAAGAAGGAAGAGGGAGAGGCCTCTCTGCCAGCACTCTGCAGTGGAGGGGGCGGCTATTTAGTTGGCGCCCAATCCCAATAGGGGAGGGAAAGGACAGAGGAGCCCTGGACCCCTGGGGTTCAAAGCTGAACACTTGAACAAGGAGAAGAGGGTTGGGCCCACCCCAGTTCCTCTAATTCTTTTTCCTTTTTCCTTGTGGAGCAAGTGAATGTGGCTAGCAGGCTAGGTACTTATTTTTCCTTCCAAACTGAGGATTTTTTTCTTCTTTTTTAAAGTTCACTGCCGGTGGATTTCATCATCAAATAAGGGCATGTTTGGCGTCGGTGTTACACCCTAAATTATTTAAAAAACATGTCATGAGCATCATGTTTATGGGTTAATGCATGTGATAGAATGTGTAGATAAATTTCTTATAACTTAAAATAATCAATAAAAATATTAAACAAAAGTTGATTCAATAGTTCATGTATATCAAGTAGGGTTTAAAACTAATTTTTAGCGAACAAGAATGCTATAGAACATGTGTGTGATACTTAAATAAAGTTTGAAGTACAAACTTTGTAGATGATAGTGAAATACTTACTATTAAAAAATGATATTACTAGCTAATATTTCCACTAGCATAGAAATCGCAAATTGAAATCAAATTCACTTCAAAACTTAGAAAATTTCCAAGTTTGTCAACAACTAGACATTGCTATGTTTAGCAATTTATTTTGAGAGAATGGGTTAAGGGATGGTATAGTGTTATAGCTCGATTTGGTAGTCTCATGTGCCATCTTGAGCATGGTGAAGATGGTCTAAGTCCAGAAGCAACCGTTAAGTTTTTATGGTCACTTTAAAATTCGTACACGACACGGTTTCGGGCTAGTTGGCCGCGTTGGCGCGATCACCACGCTCGGGCGCTCGGCGTCGCCGCGTTGGTCGCGCGTGCGCTGCCGCGCGCGGCCGGCTGTGGCTGCCTCTGGTCTGGCTATGGCTCGGCTGCCGCCGGCCCCGTCGCACAAAGCTGCTGCTGCTCGCCGCGCCACGACGAAGCCACTGCCGTCGCTATCACCTCGCCGTCGCGTCCACCCACTGCTGCCTCGCCGCACTGCCGACCCGCCTCGCGCAGCGACGCTGCCGCTGCCGTCGCATCGTCATCACGTCCGTGCCTGTCCGCTGCATCTCTGCGATGCTGCCGGCCCAGTGTATTGCCGCCTCTGCCGCGCGCACGTGGTCGGACTCGCCGTCTCCTTGTCATTAATGACACTACGGCCGCGCGGGCCACGCCGGTCGGGAGCACGCACGCCTGTCGGCTAGCGCCTGTGCGTGGGCCCCCACGATCTTGCTGACCGCATCCCGCCAAGGCGAGGACGAGCCGACCCATCTACCGCGCCCCGTCTCTCTCTTTCTCTTTTCCTCCCTCCACTGTCGCCGTCGAGCCGGCATCAATTACCTGCAAGCAATCACCTCCATTCAATTCAGCGCATTCCCGTCTTCACCATCACATCCTCTCGCTGCCTAACCCCACCTAGCTTTGAAGCGAGCACAGCCAAGCTCCAATTTGGAGTTTTCTTCCATCGCCGGGCCGATAAGGCCGCGTCCGGCTGCGGATGTGGGCAGCTCTCCCACCGTCCCTCCCGATCCAATTCACTTACACCATCAACTTCGCCTCGCCTCCCTCATCGCCCTGCGCGTCTGAGCCGAACCGCTACCACCTCCCGTTCATCGCTGACGCGACCGTGCCGCCGCTGCATGGCACGGCCACACATGGCCAGCCTTCCTCCATCATCCTTCGCCCTAACTGTCACCTCGGCTAGGTCCACGGTAGTCTACTAATGCTCTCTCGCTAGCCAGTTAGGTTCTTAGGTGTTCTAGATCACCGGGGCAGCTGCGCTGCCGCCGTGGACGGTCGCGCATCGCAGCAACTCGCTCCAGCGCGTTCCGCCACCCCTCGCCGCCGCTTAGCATAGCCGCTCAGGTCAGAAGGTGGGCTCGCGTAGGTCCTAGGTGGTCGACGTAGGCGCTCAGTGCCGCCGCTCGCCGTACCACCGTGCGTTGGGTCGCCAGGGGTGCGCGCGGACAAATTAGGAAAAGGCCAGGGGGTTAAGTGAGAAGTTCTGAGAGAGGGGAAAATAGCGTTAGGACTTAGTTGTAATTTGGGAGAAGTACGAGGTCTCTTTTGCAAAGTCGTCGACGCCCGCGGGATTCCCCTACCGTGGGCCGTCTCGCACTGTAGGCTGGCCTCACGTGGGCCGTGCCTGTGGGCCACCGCGCGCTCGCGCACACGTGCGCTGCGTCGCGTGGGCCTCACGTGTGGGCTGCGCGGGCGAATTCGTTTTTTCTTTTTCATAAGGAATTAGAAATAGCTTTCTAATTTATTTTTTGAGCTGATCTTTGGTAAATCATATAAAATCATGTAGGTGTCCAAAAATTATGAAATAAATTTTGTTAGGTTCCTAAAATTGTGCTCTATCTATTAGTTTATTTAGTTCATATATATACATGTCGATATCAGGGGCTATTAAATCATTTGAAAATGTTTAATATTGCTAGGAGAGTTATTGTAGGATTTTTTGTGGTAAATTGGTGATAGCTTTAGTCCTGAAATTTTTATGGTAGCTTCATTATACTATTATGTGCTCACTATAAATTTTGTAGATTTAGAATAGATTAAGCATTATGGTAGTTAAATGCTCTTTATTTTAAATATGCATTAAATCATTAGTAGGAATAAAGATGTATCCTTCATTTGTAAAGCTAGGTGTTTGTTAGTTGAACCCAATACTTTGCTTGGTAAAGATGATAGTTAGCTTAGTACCTTAGTCATTAGAGCTATCTTAGTAGCTTAGTATGCGTATTCTTATCTTAAGAGTTGTTGTTGTTGCATAAATGCTAAGTGTTGCATCATCATCGCATGCATGTAGAGAACGAGTTGGCGGAGATCGTGACCATCGGTGATCACAAGTTCGAGGAGATCGTCGAGGAGTACGAGGAGGAGATCCTCATGCAGGAGGTCCCGGAGCCACCACTGAATGACTCAGCTGACACCGCGCCTGCCCAAGGCAAGCCCCGGTGCATGACTCTTATTTTTGATAATCACTGAATATATATATGTGATGTGCATTTACATTACAGGAATTTTATAAAAACCATATGTATAAATATATCTGTCCTATGAGTCCTACTAGTATAGGTTCGAGTAGCTGCTATGCTTAGATTTTTTGTAGCGTGAGTAACCTGCCGTTACTAACAATAGGTGATTATTATTATTACTCTTATGATAAAATGATGAAAGAAAAAATGGAGACAGGACAGGGATATGGTATGGGTATTGGTGGGTGTAACATGTTGTGTCCTGCAGCCAACGGGGCTTAGCTTGGTTACACTGTTTTCCCTATCCGTGTTGATTAAGGACCATCCGTTGCTGTGGATGGTAGTCAGGTCACAGACTTATTATCCTGAGCACATACTTGCTTATGGGAGTGGAAAGGCTCGTTACGCTCTTGTCGTGGGTTCCGGCTCTTTCTGGACCGACTGATTGGAGGGCGGGAAAGGTGGAGGTCTAAGCACCATACTGAGACCGGGTCTCAAGTGTGGAGGCTTGGAGTCCAAGTTTGGACGGGAATCTGGACCCCGTGACACGAGTGGAATGGGTTAGTCTTGTTTGTGTCTAGGGCACAAACGGGGCGTGTGTTTTAGGGTACCCAGCTGTGATACATTTGTTCGCGAATCGCTATTTTCGTGAGACGGTACGACTTGGCTATGGTCTAGCACCATAGTAAGAACTGAAAGATAAAAGATGGTGAAATGGTTCTGATTGCTTAACCCTTGCTTGAAAGTAGAACATGTGCTTACCTAAAATGGCTAGCTAATGAAGTAATCATGACTGCTAATAAAACTTGACTGTATAAATGAACTATTAGTAATGCTTTTCACAAGCAAAAAGAGAACAACAAACCCATATTGCCTATCATACTTCTTGAGAGTCGGGAAACTATTCTCACTAGTCGGATAAGTCTTGCGAGTACACTGTGTACTTAGAGTTTACTTTACCCCTGTTGCAGGTGCAGCTTGAGGAGTAGCTCTTGTGTGGAGGATTCTTCTGGTGGACACAAACGAATCCTTGTATCATTTTTGCTAGATGTTTATTGTCATTCCGCTGTTTAATTATCGCACTCTGAACTCTGGTAGTATAATAAATAATTTCTAAGAACTCTTGTGGCATGAAATGAACTAAGTATTATAAGCTCGTACTCATTATTGGATTCTGGATGTAAAACGTAGATTGTTTCAAGTTCTCTCTTGGGGTGTGCTCGACGGAACTGTCCGATGTAGCTAACTTTTGGGGTGTTTAGTGTCTAGTGGAAGACGAGCGCCTCAAAAAACGTGTTATTTCGAGCGGTTCTGCCACATGACGTAACTTCACCAACAACTTCATAAGCTATTGTGAGCTGTTTATTTTTGCTAAACACCCTTTTTTCAAAATAGCTCATCAGCGAAGCTCCTTTTTTATGCTCCCATAAAAGAACGAAGAGAGGTGAAGCTGAAAAAGTAGTTTTTCACAGCTCTCCCCCTTATTTTCTTCTTATAGCCATGTATGAAGCTGTTGGTAAAATTATTTTGCCAAACATTTATTCTAAAACAGCAC